AGACAGGAGATCAGTCAGGTGTGCTCCTTCCCACTCTTCCATGGACCTCATCAACTCTGCTTATACATACTAATCTCTTCCAGCAAATATTTATGAGGCACCTGCTATATGTCAGGTACTGCTCTTAGTACCAGGGAGTGAGCAAATAAAAATCTCCAACCACACAGAGTAAGGGGAGACAGCCAAGGTCAAATGATGAATCGTACTATGGAGAAAATTAAAAGGGAAAAGAGGGCCGGCCCGGTGGCGCACTGCTACAGTGCGCCGCTTGGGAACGCGGTGGCGCTCCTGCCCAGGGTTCGGATCCCACATACAGACCGGTTCCCGCTCACTGGCTGAGCGAGGTGCGGGTGCAACACCGAGGGTTGCGATCCCGTTGCCGGTCCCGGTCTGGTATGGGCACGACACTGAGGGTTGCGATCCGTTGCCGGACACGAAAAAAGACAAAAAAGGGAAAAGAGATAAATAATGCCGAGAGCTGGTGATAGAGGGAAGGGGATCAATTTTAGATAGAATGACCTGGGAGGGCTTGACTCCTTAAACAGGAGACTGGGAGGAGGAGAGGGAGGGACCCATTCAGATATGGGGGGGGGTGGTTAACAAGGGGATGGAGAACAAGAGATGGCTTAAGAAAGGTAAGTGGGTAAAAATCATACTGTGTCTTGTAGGCCAATGCAAGGACTTGGAATGAGATGGGGAGTCACAGGAACGTTGAGCAAAGGAGTAACAAAATTTGACTTACAATTTAGAGCATCACTGGCTGTTGTGATGAAAACTGTTGGGAGACAAGGGAGGAAGCAGAAAGGTCAGTTAACAGGCCGACGCTAGCTTAGAGCAGGTTGAAAGTGGTGGAGACAGAGTCAGGTTCAAGATACATTTAAGGCAAAGTCAACAGGATTTATTGATTAAATGGATGTGGGATGTGAGAGAAAGGGAGGAGTCAGGGATGACTCTAGAGTTTTGGGGGCCTGGGCAACTAGAAGGATGAAATCGCCATTAACTGAGATGGGAAAGACTTCGGGAGGAGCAGGGGTGGGGGTTCATTCTGTTTTGGACACATTAAACTGCAAAGCCTTTTAGACATCAGATGCACCGAGGAGGCAGCAGAATATATAAGCCACAGTTGGAGAGATGGCTGAAATTATAAATGTGGGAGTCACCAGCATATATAATAATACATAACTGCATAAATAATCATACAGGATTAACATGTATGATCATATGTAATTTGTATGACTGTGTTTTGTCTACCCCCCGCGAGACTGTAAGTTCAATATGGCCAAGGACCATGTCTGTTCACAGCCAGCAAGGTGCTTGGCACTCAGTAAATATTTACTGAGCAAATGGAGAAGTTGCCCAATTATTCCCTCAAGAATAGCCACACAGCCCACACAACGAGAAGCAGACTCTCTTGCAACCACAGTGCCAAGCCCAACCAGCCCCAAACAGGGCCCTGGGTCAGTCCACCCCGAGCTTGAGATTCCAGAACGTAAGTGGATATGCCTGGCACATCACAGAGTCAGATATTTGGGTTTCAGCCCTGCCACATTCTCAAAGGGTGGAGCTGGGCAAGAGACTTGCCTGTTCTACCACCTCTATTCCTCCCTGGAGTGGCTGGGGGAAGGACTGCTTCACCTAGTTCATGAGCAGAGATATTAACCTACCTGGAGTATATGTATGGGGTAGCAGAATCCCCCCCCAGGGGGTAAATCCCCCAAGTATTCTCTGAAGCATGCAGGGACACCCAGCACCTGAAGGAGAGGAACACAGACCTACTGGGGATGCATTAAGAGTAACTATTAAAAAATCGTTTTAAAAGAATGACAATCACAAAACTTGATGAGATGAGAAGACTACCTAATCCTTCTACCTAATGCAAGAATCCCTGACCGTGGGTATTGGGTCTCTGCTTAACCTGTCGAGTGACTAAGAAGACAGAACTGAGGACAAAGGATAGCATTACAAGGCATAAGATTTCACCTCAATAACTTTCCACTTTTGAACAATTGCCTTTGTGAAGATGATAAAATGGCTCTAATGACCTTGTATAATAACCCCCTCCCTTTATTGAGATATTGAAAATGTGACTCAGAGAGCTTTGATGACTTACCTAGGGTCACAGAGCTATAGGCCTGGACTAGAACTCAAGTTCCAGCTCTCTGCTAAGGGTTTCTTCCCATTATACCAGTGACAACGGAAAGATAAGAATCACAACGAGAGCTGTAGGAGTTTTATGCATTAGTCTTACAACATAAAACTATGTCCTTATCAAAGGATAAGCTGCAGATGTTATACGAATGCTAGGTGGCTCACTGAAGTTAAGAATTTCTTCCTTTGTACCAAATGTGTTATCCTACAGAGTTCCCCATGGCTTTGGACTTCATCAATAAAGCTACTCATAGTACAATCCACAGAATTAAAATAATGATACACTAGCAGGTAAAAACAAAAAAATGCAGATAAATGTTTACATGAAAAATTCAGATAGTAGGATGAAATCAGGTTAGCTTTCTAAAATCAAATATTGGGAGCTTCCTATGTACAAGTCACTGTGCTAAGTGCTGAGTATGTGTGTACATGGCTACACAAGAGAGAAACACACACACACAAGGATAAGATAAAACACAGGTTTCCAAGGCTTGCTGATCCTAGACTGTAAACAGCAAAGACATGACTAATAATATGCAGCAGGTAATTGTTAAGGAAGTGGCATAAATAACGTGTCTGCAGGAGTTCTAAGAAGGAGGAATCACTTCTACAGGGGCGAGGGGATTTGTCAGGCAAGGGGCTTCCAGAAAGATATGGGGATTGAGTGGACCTTGAAGGGAAAAAAGACTCTCGGTAAGAAGGAGAAATGGCATAAGCAAACACCAGTGGCCTTCATATTGAGGAAGAGAAAGAAGTCAGGTCTTAAAAGGAAGGACTGAGTTGGACTTGAACAGCCTTGAAAGTCATAGTTCTTGTAGGAGTGGCAAGGTGCAGGAAGATTTCTGAACACAGAACTACAGGGTTTGGAACAGGTTAATTTATCAAACGTCTTCCAGGGGGACTACCACATGCAGGTATTAGATGAATGACTGAAGATGAACTTGCCTTTGGTAGGAAACTCACTTCCGCCTGGGAGAAGAGTTGGACTTGGGGTGACAAGGGTGGGAGGTAGAGTGGGAAGGGGCAGGTATGGAAGACCTGCTGAAGGAAGAACCAGCAGGCCCCACTGACTGACTGGCTGGGAAGCAGAGGACAAGGAAGCAGAGAAAGTCATCGGAGAAAGTTCTTCAAAGTATAAAGTTAGGCAGCTGGAAGAAGATAAGAGTAAAGAAGGGAAGCTAGGTGACAGAGAGATGCAGAGCTGGGTTTTGGAGGTAGTGAATCTGAGGATATCTACATCTTAGTGTCCAGTGGGTGTTTAGACATGAGGGTATGGGGTTCCAGAAAGAGGTAATAGTTGAAGATTAAGTGTAGGAGTGTTCCTAATGGACAGAGTTGTGGGACTGAGTAAGATTTCTCTGGGAGGGAGTGTAATGAGAGGAAAAAACAGAATGTCAAACTGAACCATGGTGTCCCCACACCTAGAAGGTGGTGGTGGGTGGGACTTATCAGAGGAAAGGAGGAGAGTTTCAAGTAGAAGAGGGTTGTCAACAGTGAAAACTGTGACAAAATCAATTGAGGGCTGAGCACATAAATAATAAATACTTGTCGAATGAATGAAGAGAAGAAAGCCCTTGAGTTTGAGAATCAACTTTGCTCAGTCAGAACAATGGCCAAGATTGCCTTCAGACAGAGATTTTCAATGTTAAATTTTGCCCCATCCTTCCTATAAAAATGAGTTTCTTTCTCCACAAGTCATCCTGTCCTCCAAACAGACATCCTCCCCTGCTTCCCCCATGTTTCCCCCATCCTCCTTCCCAGTTTCCACAAACCAAGCAACACACCTTCAGTGTCAAAGAAGACAGGAAACTCCAACTTGAGTTTCCAACTTTATTAACAACTCTGCCTCTGGCTCCTCTTACATAAAGGGATATGTAGCAATGGGGTGAAAGAGGAGACTGGGTTCTAGCCCCGGCTGTACTACCTGTGTGACTTTGGACAAGTTGCTCAACCTCTCTGGATCTTGGCTTTTACACAGAGAGGAAGACACAGGACTATCTAGAATCCAAAGAAGTTTCAAAGTTCCCTTTGAGCCCTAAAGTCTACTATTCTGTCATTCTCAGAAGGTCCTTGCAACACCCTCAGAGAAGGAAGTGAGTACAAGACTCAGGGAAATGACCGCCAGACCTCCTCCCGGGGCGAAGCGCCAGGATAGGAGGGATGTACCAAGAAAGTGAGAAAGCGCTACCCGGGCCTTGCAGATCACCAGAGAGCAGATCCCATTCCCAAGGCTGGGAAGGATACCAACAGACCCATGGGCGACTCTCACCCCGCACGCCACCTTTCCTAAACTCCCAGACGGCCAGGAAGCTCTAAAAAGCCCTGCGGGAGAAATAAAGATTTCTTTCCCAGAGTCCTGCGCTGCTTTTGCAAGTCGGATTCCGGCAGACACGATCTGCAGTCCGATAATGACCAGACAGCCTTTGGAAGGAGCAACTGTTCTCGCCTCGCTCTCTCCGAGTTCTGGGGACGCCTGGATGCCCGCGCCGTGCCCCGACCGGCCGGTGTCGACCCCGGCCCGGGATGCCAGGCCAACGGCGCCCTCGCCCCGGCCCCCCCCCTCCGCTGCGGTCTGCAAACATTTCCTGCCCCCACCCCCTCCCCCATCCCCACCAGGAGCTTCCCAGTTGGAGTGAGTTGGTCTCGCAACCGGGTCAGCGCTCGCAGCTGCCCCAACTCGGTTCCCCGGCCACCCAGAGCCGGGGAGGGGGCCCCCGTCTGGTTCCGGTGCAGCCATCAGGGAAACCCAGGAGCCAGGAGCCGTGGGAGGTCGCTCGGGAAGCCCAGGGCTCAGGCAAGGAGGGGGACAACCGGCGGGGTACCCGTGGCCCTGCTCCCTTCCCCGTCCTTACCTGCTCGTTTGCGGGGGTGTCCCGGGGCGGCCGGCCTCTCCCGGCGCTGTCTCCCCACGCAGTTGCCCATGCTGGCTACTCAGCTGGTCCCCATGCACCGGAGGCGGCGGGGTGGTCGGTTCTCGGCGCTCCTTCCCCGGACGGCGGCGTCCCAACTCAACGGCTCCTGCCGCCCGGCATCCGCGCTCCTCGAACTGCCCTCCGGACACACTCTGCCCCGGCGCCGGCTTCGCCACAAACTTTGCGGGCCTGGGGGAGAGAGAGGTAGCCGACTCCCCAGCACAAACCCAGGTGGCCGGGCCAGGGGGGCCCGCGACGGTGCCCGGCCGGAGACCAGCTCCGCTGGAGGGGCGGAGAGAGGGGGCGGGCACCGCGGCAGCTACTCCGGGATCGCTCGAGGCTCCCAGCTGGGGCCGGCCCCCCTGAGCCTGTCACTCACCTGCCTAGCCCCGCCCCAGCCCAGCCCCGCTCCCTTCCGCCGGCTCGCGGTGTCCGCGCCGCCGCCACCACCCGCCCCAGGTGCGCATGTGACCCACAGCACCGCCCACTTGGGCCGGGCCTGACTTTCTCATTGGCTTCCCCCAGGGTGCGTACCGCCCCTCGGCCCCACCCAGCCAGGTGCCCGCCCCGCTGCCCGTCTCCCAGGGAGCAGGGCCGGGAATTATTAGCCCTCAATGGCCCTCGGCCGAGTGCCCAGCCACCGCCTTCCCTCCTGGAGCCACCGCCCCGATTCCACGCCCCGCCCTCCGGGGAGGGGTCGGCCCGTCCCTCCCTGGAACTGCCAGGCTTGGAGCCGGCAGGCACGTGATCCAGAGAGCGTCCCGCCCCCTCGACTTTCGCCAGGCCATTGGCTCGAGAGGCGCGTGCGCGGACAGGCCCGTCTCATGCTACCGCCTACTTCCCCTCCCACGGTGTCTAGGTCGCGTCATGGCCGCCGCCGCGGCTGCAGCTCTGGAGGCGGCGGCGCCCACGGGAGCCCTGTGGGGCCTCGTGCACGACTTCGTCATGGGTCAGCAGGAGAGTCCCGCTGACCAGGTAGCTGCAGGTACGGAAGACTGCGCCGCGCGGCTTCTGCATAAGGGCAGACAGGAGAGAGCGGCCTCAGCACCCGCGCCGGGCGGGAAGGGAGTGAGGGGCAGGGATGATTGAGAGATTGGTGTCTGGGCTGGTTGATGAGTACCACGAGTTTAAGAGTCATAACAAGTTGGAGAGTCGCTCGCATCTTCCTTAAAGCCATTTTACGCTCCTCATCTCCCCGTAACCAATGATAGGGAATCATTACATTTCACAGGTGAGGAAACTGAAGCACAGGTAGGGCAGGAGACTTGGACGGGGCTACAGAGCAGGCGGGGGTAGGGGGATTGGGACTCGGACTCAAGTGCTCAGGTGGGAACCAAGTTTTTAAGCCACGAGACCACTTTGTTTGTTGGAGGTTGACGTGGGGAGATGCACCTTCCGCGGCACGAGCTCCCGTCGCGTGGCATTCTGGGAGTGGCCAGGCCTCCCCCTCTGACTGGCTGTGCTGTATTTGAGAGGAGACGAGGAGCCAGCCTAGGGGGAGTTGGAGATGTTCTGCCTTAAAGACTTTTTCTCCTTTCTTTGGTCAAGTTCGTGATTAATTTGCTCCTTGACTTTTTTTTTATTATTTTATCAATATACAATGTAGTTGATTTTCGTTTCCCTTTACTGATTCCTCCCTCCCCCCTCCCTTTCCCCCCCACCCATCAACTTCATGTCCGTTCACTTAACAAGTTCAAGGAATTGTGATTGTTGAGTCTTCTTCCCCGCCCCCCGTTTGTTTGTGTGTTTATTTTTAGCTCCCACAAATAAGTGAGAACATGTGGTATTTCTCTTTCTGTGCCTGCCTTGTTTCACTTAGTATAATTTTTTCTAAGTCCATCCATGCTGCTGCGAATGGTAGAACATGTGGTATTTCTCTTTCTGTGCCTGCCTTGTTTCACTTAGTATAATTTTTTCTAAGTCCATCCATGCTGCTGCGAATGGTAGAACATGTGGTATTTCTCTTTCTGTGCCTGCCTTGTTTCACTTAGTATAATTTTTTCTAAGTCCATCCATGCTGCTGCGAATGGTAGAACATGTGGTATTTCTCTTTCTGTGCCTGCCTTGTTTCACTTAGTATAATTTTTTCTAAGTCCATCCATGCTGCTGCGAATGGTAGAACATGTGGTATTTCTCTTTCTGTGCCTGCCTTGTTTCACTTAGTATAATTTTTTCTAAGTCCATCCATGCTGCTGCGAATGGTAGTATTTCATTCTTTTTTATAGCAGAGTAGAATTCCATTGCTCCTTGACTTTTTTATGTGGTATTTGTTTTTATCTTCTTCCCACATCTCCGGCTTCCTGCTTTTGACGGTTCAGGGATCTCTTAGTTCTGATAGCTTATCTCAGATTTGAATAAAACAAATTCCATGCTTCTTGGAATTCCGAAACTTCGCTGTTTTAGAAAAGAGAAAAATCTACTAAAAACTTACTGAATGTTAGAAGGCCTTCAGACCTCTGCTTTAAGTAGTAGAATACAAAATGATCTCGTAGGTACAGATGAGTATTTTTGGAAATTTTACATCCTTGGGGAAAAATAAAGGGCACATTTCTCTTGCATATTGAACATACTGATTTTTAAAATACGTGAGAAATGAATAGTGAATCTGCTAGAAATATAATACTTTGGTCTTTAGCAATATTCCACTTTTAGTCATTGCACTATTACTGGACACATATTCTCCAAATATGATACAAAGCAATAGGAATATAAATACAAATTAGATTAGATCTATGCCCACTAGGAACTTACAGCATGGTTGTCTTTCCCACCACACTATAAGAGGTACGAAGGGTGGTTTGGAAGCATCAAGGAGCAAATGCCTGGTGGTGCCACTAAACTTAACATCTTACGACTTAAGAAGTATAGTGTTATCACTGCTTACAATTAACAAATGCAGTATGTTATCAGTGTCATTTTTCCCAGTGTTTTATTGTGAAAATTTTCAAACATACAGCAAAGTTGAAAGAATTTTATAAAGAACACACATACACCCACCACCTAGATCCTACCATTAACATTTTAATATAACTTGCTTTATCACGTATATGTTCATCCGTTTAAATTGCAGATGTCAGGGGCCAGCCCGGTGGTGCACTCGGTAGTGTGGTGCTTGGGAGCGCGCTCCTGCCGAGGGTTCGGATCCCATATAGAGACCGGTCCGCTCACTGGTTGAGTGCGGTGCGGGCGCGACACTGAGGGTTGCGATCCCGTTACCGGTCACAAAAAAAGACAAAAAGGAAAATAAATAAATAAATAAATTGCAGACGTCAGTACATTTTCCCTAAATACTTTGTCATGCATATCATTGATTAGGATTTGTTTACAGTTTATTTTGGTGTAAAATTTATATTCATTGAAGCATATAAATCTTAAGTGTACATTCACAGATTTTGATAAATGCATACACCTGTGTAATCCAACACCCACCAAGATACAGAACATTACTATATCAGCGTCACTTGTAACTATTCTTTCACATTTATACATATAAAAACAATAATTTTGGATTTTTCGGATTCAGTACACACTTGGAGAAGACAGACTGAATGACGACTGCTAGGTCCTTAAATATTTTTGTAAAATTTATAATTCTGTTTATTCCTGAAAAAATGGCCTAAACTATTGTCCCCTTTAAATTTAACTCAGTTCAGCTGAGACTCTGTAACCTGTTGTAATTTAGACCTCCTAAGAAAGGAAGGTTGTGGAGTAGGAGTAGATAAGGCTGAAAAGGTTTGGTAGGGTTGGATTATGCTTCACCTTGGATTCCAGGCGGAGGGATTTGAATGACCTGTTTGTAGGTAAAAGGAGTCATTATAAATCCTTGATCAAGGGAGCCATAAAATGAAAGCACATTTGAGAAGGATTAAGTTAATATTCTCAATCTTAGATCACAGCCCTAGTTAGGGTTGTTGAAAGCTGACAGTTTTGAAGCATCCCCAGAATAAGATGTGCTTTCTAACCTTCCAGCCTAAATCAAGCTTTTTGTGCTGAAGGGACCAGCTAGAAGTTTGCTGTCCAACCACTGGCAGCAGTAGCCACTCCTACAAATTGTAAATGTAGAAGATACAGCCTGTGGTCACAAACATGGTTACCAAGAACTCTCTTTTGCACCTGGGGTTCTGATGACAGTGGGTTTCAGCTGTAAAGGTGCAATTGATGGAAGAGAAATCACCTGGCAGCCTAAGGGTTAAAGGCCTCTCAGGCGTATTCAAAGGCTGCCACTACCTGGTTCCAGCCTTTATTCTCACCACTGCCCTCCTGGACCTTTGGTTCCAGGCAGCCACCTTTAGTCGATGTTTGTTGAGTGCTTACCTTCCCAATTTCCTCCACTAACTTTATCTAATCCGAATTAGATCTAGGAGTTAAGACCCAACTTGGGAGCCACCCCCGAAGTATTTCCTTTTTATACCAGCCAGACAACATCTCACACTTCAGAATCTTTATAGTACTTATTTCTCATGTACTTATTAGCAAACTTGTTTAGTAGCTATTTCTATATACATCTCTACATCTACCGTCCCTCTTCTTCTGCCAGAGTCTCCTAGAACTATCATAAGTAGGTACACAATAAAAACTACCTAAATGAATGGAATGAGAGATGTTGAAGAAAGAATCTGGAATTTGAGGTCTAACTAGGGCATGAAGGGGAGAGAGGACTCCAAAATGACCCCTAGACTTTGAGTCTGAGGATGAGGAAAAAAAGTACTTTCCCCAGAAATGGAGGTTGGGAAGGGAGCTGATTTTGAAGAGTGTGACTTTTGGACATGTTGAATTTGCAAGTAATGAGTATCATTTTTGCCGCTTAGTTATTTGGATTTTCCTTCATTTCAGTCTTTATTATGTTGTATTTTCCCACATTTGTGATTCCTTGAGTAGACCACTATTCCTGAAACCAAAAGATTGTTAAAGAACAGTGAAGTATGGATTTGAGAAATGTCTGTGGCATCATCAGCAGAAAAGGCATTTTGAGAGCTTGATTGAAACCTAGTCCTGATTGGAATTTTTCTCTCTCCTGCTCCTTTATGTCCTCCCATCCACCCACCCTGCCTCCTCCCTCTCACTCCCCTTTGGCTGCTACTCCAGATTCTCAAGAGGGCTGCAGCTCCATCAGACAGAGATCTGATTGTGTATTCTATGTCAGTGATCATATAAGTACTCCTTTGACTCCTCAATGCCCCACACAAACTGGTGCCCTGCTGAGGAAAGTGTGGGTAGTTAGGAGGTGCTAGTAGGTCCATTTTTAGAGAGCAAATCTTGAACACGTTGGAAAAACTTAGGCCTGCTTGTAAAGAGAAAGGAACTTACACTTATTTTTTCCTTAATGCTAGTGAGGCTATC